AGAGTGTCAACATCTTCTGCTACAGTCCATGACTAACCAAGCAGACTAACCTTCAGGTTGTTGCTCCATGTGTCAAGAATGTTCTCCATCCTACTTATGTTCTCCTCTGAGATAAACATCTCTGTCACAGTAGATTCAAAGAGGTCAGGGCTGTTTGGCCGAGACCTCTCAGGTGCTGTCTGTAGCCTGTCTGAAGGAACGTTTGAGAGCATTGACACCTTGCTAGATAACCGACCCATCATATCTTTAGCAGGAGCACAAAGGAAAAAAGACAGAATATCATTAATAAATTACACAATATTACAACTTACTTGATGTTCTTAGTATTTCTAAGCTTGTCTGATGTTAAGAAAAATTCAAATTAATATAAATTTTGTTTCTTTTTTAATTAAATTTACCATGAGAGAGTCTTGATTGTGTGGAGGGCTCAACAATCAAGGAGGAACCTTGTGATGATCTCACACTCCTGCTAGAATGCCTCCCGTCTTCGGCTTCAGTGGCAGAATCTGACAGAAGACACAAGGGGAGGGAAGTCAGCAAGAGAGGCCAGCGGTAAATAGATAAAAAGGAACTGCTGCTAAAATGTTGTCATGGAATAAATGAGTAAAAGTGAAAGTACAATGTTATCAAACAAAACAAAATTTCAGAAAAGGTGATTGTGAAGTGAATGCTGAGTAAGACCAGCATGGGTTCTTGTCCAGGAATACATTTATGTCAATATCTTAATTAAATACTGCAGGGGGGGAGAGAAAGTCTGCACTCTAAAAAGCAGTACAGGCACAGCGCCAGAAGATCATTACCAATCTGCCCGTTTGTTTTTTACATCCCTGTGCATTACTGCACTAAAATCTCCATTGAGAGCTGCAGCTGGGGCTGGAGCTGGAAGGAGGGCCAGCTGATGGATTGTTTAAGATCTAGTAGGTATAATAGTGGAAAGAGATGGGGAGTACAGTCTTGCAGACTGATATCATATGTATCCTGACTAGACTGGTGTACAAGCTGATATACAAACATTACAGTTGTGATGCCAAATCCTTTTTGACAGCTGATCACTTAATGAGGGCAGCGTCTGGAAAAGCTCAAGTTGTGCTTACAGTACGTCTGCAAGGCTTAAAGAAATGTGTCTGCATGAATGTGGACTGCATAAAAGAGGAACCGATGGTACCTGCTAGGCGTTGCGATTTAGTGTCATCATTTCTCTGGGAACTCCGTCCCTCTGCAGACAGGTGTGAGGTGCCCATCTGATGCAAGCGAGCACTGGTGAGTGTCTCAAGCTTAGGTGTGACCACAGCATAGCGGAGGAGCTCCTCATACTCATCCTGTTGATCCATAAACAGTAAATGAGGAAAGAAAACCCTACTGGCTCATGTGTCCCTTACTAAGCTGTATCTTCTTATTTCTGTTTTAATCATCATCTCCAATTCCCCTAACTGACTCCACTATATGATGTGTTAAACAATGTTGCTGTGTCCCCAGGTGTGCACGATGTAAGCATAAAGACACATCCTGTTTTATTTTTTTTAATCACCTGAAGCTCAGAAGACACAGAACTTCCCGGATCTGAGTCTTTGGGCAGAACAGGACTGGTTATTTCCTCTTCCTCTGAGGACATCTAGATAAAGATATGCATGGAATGGCATTAGTTTAATGAATCACTACTAGCAACACAAGCTGGTAACGTGGTAAAATGTTCAGTACGTACTGGATACTTACGTACAGTACAGTATATGAATAGAAAACGTTTGCTTTTTTTTTGGTTGATTGCAGAACCCAAATCTGGCAGGGTGTTCAACTATTGGAAAATGTACGAAATTTGCAACCCTGCGTAGGACTATAGAGCTATAGAACTACAAAAAATGCCCCGTATGAAACTGGTCATAATTATGCAACTACAAAAATACAAACTGTACATTTTAGAGCATTCTAGCGACTATTAACGTTAACTAAACTTGCATAACAAACCTTGTCAACAGCTGACACCGTAAAGTCTCTACCGTCTGGTAGCATTAAATGAAGTTACAAAAACATTAGACACTGAAACACACACTTCCACTTTAGCCTCGAAAAAACACTATACGAAATGATAGTAAACAGTTTCACAGTGTCTGTTAACTTATACCAAGACATATACTAACAATGGCTGTGCATTAATATTGATTTCGAACATGTTTACCTGTTTTATATACCACTACAGGGTAATACACTTCTTCGTATCCGAAGTTAGTCGTCTGTTAGAAAATGCTTGCGTTACCGTTTCAAATCGATTGACTCTTCAACAACAGCCTCTCTGATTGGCTTCTGTTTCCGAAGCCTCATGCTAAACCGTCTCTGATTGGGTAAAATGTTTTCATGGCAATGGCAAGCCGAACAACGCTAAGATCACCAGCTGTTCCTGTGAGGTGGTCCTACTACAGCTAAAGTAAAGGCTATACATGAGTTTAGAGTAAGTCGGCTCGTTTACCTCAGTTTAATCATGGTAGTTTTCAGGCTCAAGAAGCCTTGTGAGGAATGCAGAGTGCTCTGACCACACATGATAAGTCATTGACTTCTGTCTTTTATCACATAGCCACTTCATCAACTTCTTTATATTGCATAATACAAACAAGCAGAATGATACTAGGTTTAAATATCAGTCTATATAAGGGGGATCTTGTTAGTTTATGGACTGTTAATCTCATTAAAGGACATTAGTCTGTTTGTGTGTTTGGCAAATCAAAGCTGTGTGCAATATGGCTTCCATAGTGCATTTCATCAATAGTCTGTATAGATATTAACTGATTAGATTCATTATCATGAAGAAGCAAGCTCACCTGCCTAAAGAAGGTGTAAGTTCTTGGGGAGTACCACAACCCTGTGAATCTTCCTGTGGCAATTTCTTTGTTGTTCGCTTAGGGAAATACAAAATAGACATTGGTTCACAGTCTGAATTACAGCATTGTCTTAACCCCCTGAAAACCTAGTGCTTAACAATATTAAGACATGTGGGATAGGCCTAAAGGCTTGACAGCCCCGAGCATGGACAGACTCCAGAGAGAGGAGACATATGGTCCCTCTCAGCCGTGGCAGAGCTGCAAACAGTCCTGCTGGACTGGGCCCTCCTCACTGCCTGGCTGAGTGCTGGATGTACTTCCCTGCTCTGTCAGCACTGTCATAACAAAGACCAGTAGGCTGACTTTGACAAGGCGATATGCGTGGTTGTGACACTGCTGACAGTGCAGTCATTTCCTTCAAAACAGCAGCTGGACAGCTGATCAGATGATTACAAAGCGTTAAGGTTAAACTGTGGAACCAAGGATTCAGTCTGATACGTAAATATATTATAAATAAACAGAATGACTGCACAGTGTAAACAAGGCCTGGCTCACACATCCCTGAGCACACACATCCATTTCATTACTACATATCTTGACAGTTGACACAGACTATGACTAGGCCTTCGTAAAGCACAGAGGATAATCCTTGCTGCTTTGTAGGGAGTGGAGGTTTCCTGTTGAATGACAGGAAGCCGTAGCTCCCACAGATTACTTATTTCCATTTCAGAGCAAATGATTCACTTGTTTTGAAAGGTTTTTGGTGATGTGTTCATCACTGTTTTTTCAAATTGGCTAGTTAAATTTGCTGCTTTTTTAATTGCAAATTTTGTATGCTTGTCTGCTTTTGTGTAGGCTATTATAACAAGGACTGCAATGACTGCAGGGTATGCATATACACTGTGAAAGGCCAGGAATTTAAAGCATTTGTACTGTACTTGTCTTACTTTCAACATTTTAATACAAAAAAAACTGTATGGTGCCCAGTCTCTTCTTGTGTGGTATATAATATGTGCATTGTGTATGTGTATGTCAAATTAAATCAACTTACATTAAATTTAATTACTAGCTTACAAATATATGCAGTATAATCCATGATTTTATTTAACACAAAGCAATTAAAATCAAAGGAATGCATCAAAGTTCAGTGTTTATTTTGTCATATGCACAGTTAGGAAACGTGTTTCCCTGTACAATGAAATTCTTACTTTGCCAGCATCAGCTATTACACCCGACATTAGTGACAGACCTCCATTCTGTTCCAACTTTGAATAATGTTTTCCTTCAGTTGCTGACAAAGGTAATAAGGAACTGTTAACAGTAGTTGGATTAAGCCTGTATCCCTGCCTCAAACCCTTCTTTAGATTCTTTGTGCAAATTTCACAAAAGAAATGCACCTGGGCTTGTGAGTCGAAATGGGTTTCACATTCTTCTCTCATAGTCTGTTCACTCAGGACAATACTCACAGGCCATGCGACTTTTTCCCCCCTGGTATTTTAGCTCAGGTATGTTACAATATTCAGGCCCTTGCAATGGTAGACATAACCAAAATTAGGAAATGACAACTTACGTTTATACAAGTGGACCTTGTTAAGGAACTTTTTCTTACAGTGCTTTGACATTTTTACATTTGTATTTTAGTTTTAACAGATTACAGAAAACTGTGTTAAGTCCCATTCAGTTGTTTGGTGTTTGTGTCATTTTTAATCTTTTGTATTCTGAGCGTGAAGCTGCAGATCACAAACCTGGTGTAAATTTGTTTCTGCCTGTGATCGATTTTCAGTCAGATGTATTTACAGACAGCCATAACTCCTGAAGACAACAACCTATGTGCTATCATCAATCGCAATGTTATCAATCCATTTGTCTCTGATATGAGACAATGATGACCTCTCGCTGAACACAGTGTTGCCTGAACTCATCTTAGAGTTATTCATAGCTGCCTGCTGTTTTCAAATTAGTTTTTCATTACATTCTGATGGACCAGGACTTCCCCCTTGGGCCACTATAATCCATCACATCTCTCAGTGACACCAGCGTCCTTTTTGTTTTGCTTCCAAAATGCTTGGGTGTTGAATTCGCCAACACTTGTTACCACATGGCTGCATCGTCCACAGATGACATATTTTTTTACAACCAGGTAAGAGAGAACAGAACAAAGCTGCATAATTACTGTGATTATTATATAACACATTCAAGCAGTATGGGAACTGCAGAGTCCAGCATGAAGCAAGTAAACCAGATAAGTGCAGATAAGCAGTGGAGACTGAGAGGAAAGACTAAATCAGTTAGCCCGAGCCTCTGTTTCCACAAGGCACAAACAATTACCATCAGTGTCCACTTCGTTTGTTAGTATCAGGATGAAGATCAGCAGCGGCCTCCCTGTATCTCTTTTTAAATTTCATATTTGTCATGAAACGTTTTAGTGTATTCAAGCACTGCATAATGTTCATATAACACAGATGCCTTGGTTTTGTATTTGGTACGTTGGAACTCGAAAATGTTATGTTTTGTACGTGATAGTTAAGTATGTTTAATATATGACATGCAGTCATAAAATATCATAAACCACACCTAAGAAAATATGTTTTCAATTTGTGTGAAAAAAGCAAAAGGCAATAAGAGACATAGTACTGTACAGTACACATGTATTAATATAAAAATATAATGTTGTATGCCATGTATATAGTATATAAGTTGTTCCACAGGTACAGTTCATACTAACAATGCACTGGAGGCTCTAATTGGCTTGCCAGTAGGGCTATATGGGATTTTGCCAATTTCACATTACATACAACCAATATTAGGCTACATTTACTAAGTGTGGCATAGGAATTTATTTTACTTGACAGCTATACTTCACACATGTCAACATTCAGTCCACAAGCTCTGGAACATATTAATGTTTATTGTATTTTTACTGTAATAAAGAAGACAGTGAAATTCATGAGCATCATTCTTCTTTGTGTGCATGTATACTGGCATGCACAATGGACTCCATGTGTGTATGTGGGGGGTGTCCTCCTCCTACTGTCCCGCACATTAAGCTAAGTGCTCCTCAGTTCTCTGGCAGCAGTAAATGGAGTCATATGGCTTGGGGGGGGAGGTCTCCCATCTTTGAATCAAAAGTGTCCCAAGCCCCAGGTCACTGCTTCTGTGAATCATCAAATTCAGAGGAAAAAGATAGATGCTTTTCTTTTTGTTTTGTGTGTGTGTGTGTGTGTGTGTGTGTGTGTGTGTGTGTGTGTGTGTGTGTGTCTGTGCCCTTGGATGCTTATTTGCTCTGTGTGTCTTTACATCATTTACAGGCCTATTCAGTACCCTTAGTAGTGAATATGAACACAACAGCCAGTGTCAGAACCATGCCTTGGTGAATAATCTCAATAACTGCACATCCAGGCTGCACATTTCCAACATGTGAGGCATTGTAACACTGAGATGTAGTTTTTCTGAAAATGAATTTACCAAATCAGATGAACAGGGTGCAACACATCAAAGAGCTCACTCGCAATCGTTTTCGCAGTGAGAGCGCTGGTGTAGTTTACAGGCTATACTGATGTGAACACCAAAAGACTGAATGTCCCTGTGCTTGCATCAGTCTGTCATCTATTTTTTCCCCTCACTTTCTCCAACAACCACGCCATAGCTTTCAGAGGAATTAGGACCTGACAGAGTAAGCACACAGTTTGTCTAAAGAGCCTACTGCTCTCTAACAGCTTGTACTAGGTTATGCAATTATTGTAAGGGGATTGTAACATCTTTGGAAGGTGTTTGTCAGTAGTAATGTTCTTACCCTGTGGTCATCATTTGAAGGCATAAGAGGAATGAATGTGTTTTATTGTACTTAAATTGCATCTGAAAATCAAGGATTTTATTGCCCAGCCTGCTTTATGCTGTCAAATGAAGCTCAGTGGAGTGTAAATGAAGGAAAAACACACTGTAAATGAGAAAAATCATTTTGTAAACATAATATCTGAGTCACAGACATGAACCCTAGCTGTAAGCTGAAAAATATGTAAGCGCATAATCTCCATACAAGACACAGGATTGTTGTAAGCAAGGGTGCAGCCATGGAACCTCTTCATCTAGGTGTATTGAATAGTAATTATGAATGTGGTTTTATGAATTCTGAATGATTGCCAGATGTGGTGCCTTAGTACCCAATTCATCTTACACATGCACAGGTTGAAGCAGGCTGAACCCTGGGCTATATTTATCTACTGTATATTGGTTCTGATAGTATGACAAATTTTAAGTCCTTGGGAAAACTTGCATGTGGTTTTTAGTGTTTGGGATGATTAAACCTGTGGATTCCTTCTCATGTACAGTAGCTATTGTATGGTTTCTCACAAACAACGTTTACTCCATCGCATTACTATCTTATTCTGGTCAAATCCATTTCCTACTGGATAGATACAGCCTGAACCTTTTTTGCAAGGTTCAGCACGTGGAGCACAGCTGAGGGATATGGTAGGACTTGGAAAACGTTTGCAAATGGAGGCACGCTTGTGACTCAGAAGTCTGCACAGTCACTTGAATGTTCAACGAACTGGTGACTGTGCAGGACAGTTCATGTTTTTGCTTCCCTAGCATCAGCAAACTTGCGCGCACTCAGACGCTGGACCGCTCGGGTGTCCGTCCGCACCACGGGCGTTAAAACGCACGGCGCAGCTTCAGTCAGCTCTGCATAACAAGGCGAGCTCCCGACAGCTTTTATGAAAGAGATTATAGTTGAAAACTGACAAGTGAATTGTAAGTGAATTAACTGAGATGCAGTTAAGAAGCAGTTTTTGTGTAAACCTTTTACCTTCAAGCAGAATTCCAGACCTATTTATCATGTGTTAACTATTCTCAAACACTGAAACAGTCATTGCTCACATAGGCTAATAACAGTGTATACTATACACCATAGCACCCCGTCACTGACTGTAGTCATTGGATTTATTTATTTTTTATCCTTATGTGTTTAGTATTCATGCGTTGCAGTGTTTCACATCAGTCTGTAACATAACTAGATTGTTCCATCATCTGAATCACTCAATGAAATACAATTATTGATTACACTGGACCCCTCTCCCTGCCCCCTCCCCCCTAGCGCCGTCTCTTTGCTCTCTCCTTCCTGAAGCTGCAGAGAGAGAGAGGACTGCATCGGAAAAAACTGCCAGCGCATTGTCGTGCGCTGGCAAAGAGGCTGTCCCTCATCCCGTTTTACAATAAAAAGCACACAAGATTTTTCTTTTCGTAAAGACAAAGAAGAATCTGATGCTATGGACGACAGCCAAGTCCACTGTTCTGGCCATAAATGACGGTAAGTAAATACTTTTTTCCCAAATGAACGCTGCCTGTGTCTAACACAGTTAACCGAGTTAGAAGAAGCTTTTCAGTTTTTCAGTCTTTTGTAATAGGACTTACAAGTGATATTGTCAATTTACTAGCATCTCTCCAATGACATTTCTAGCACCGACAAGGGATAGGTATCTCATTATTTATTCATAAGTTTGTATAATTTGTTCAAAGTTACCACTGAGTCTATTTGCCTCATGCAAAAGTAGAAGAAAATTGGAATCATTAGTTGAAAATAGGCCGTAGTAAAAACGGATATATCAAGGGAGTTTCAGGTTCTGTGGAATATGGTTCATGCATTATAGTGTGACATAGGATAGATTATAGATTATGTACATTTATCTGATATAAGCCTGCCTACATGAATAAAATCTGTCAGTAAATTAGTTTACTCAAACTGTCATTTGTGACTGTTTGGTTTATGATCCGACTGGACCTCATACTCATCTTTTATTCAACAGCATTTTTAAACACTTGTCCTTGGCATAAGCAAAGTTTTGGGTTGTTGGCTGCGGACTGTGTGTGCTGTAGTGGAATCCAGCAACCTCCCCTGGGGCAGTTAAAGCACTATGCAGTCCTGCCAAAAAGAGGAGAGGATGCGGGAGCAGGCAACTGACTCATCCGTGAATTGCACCTCAAGAGGTGCTGAGCGACTGACAGACGCACAGTCGCTGAACTGGAAATCTGTGGCTAAGCGCTTGGTTTGCAGTCCAAAGGCTGCTGTGGTGGTCTTGCCGTAAACTTCTTGTAATTGCAGGTTGCAAAATTAATTCCTCTGGCTCACGAATCAATTTCAAGTTCATGTTATTTGTTTTTTCTGCCATGATAAACACGATTTTCATTGTGATTTAGAATGTTCCTTATCCACACTCAATAACCTCTCTATCTCAAGCATCCTTTCACCTGCACTTTTGTTAGTTTTCCTAAAGTCTGTGCAGTATTTCAAGAGGGAGCTATTTTTTATTCCTGTTTCTCTGTTGAGGGGAAGAAACGACTACATGTACAAAGTACACTGTGTCAGTGAGAATGCAGCAGACAGTAGACAGAGCTTCATAAAAGATTATTTCTGTAAATTTTGTTGACATGCAGGCAAATGAACAGATTGCTCATTATATTAGGAGCAAGTTAACCTCAAGTTAAACTGTACATTATGTTCAAGGCAGAATGTTTTCCTTAATGAAACGTTTTTGGTGTTTATTTCCCTGTGAATTACAGCATTTTGTGAATATTGTGCACACATATACACAAACACCATTTTGACAAAATGAACAATTTACTGTTTAAAATAATCATCGGTGAGTGTGCCACATCTTGCATCCCTTGCCTAAGGTGTTTTTGTATCACTGCAACACAAAAAGTCTGCAGCAGACAGTGGTGGTGGCACGTTATGCTTAGTGTCTGGGAGTAGTGAACTACAGTACATGTAATCAAACTAGTAGTTTAAGGCTGTACAAGTTAGATGTTACAAAACTGACAAGTAAGACAACAGGGGCATTTGTTGGACCACTACTCGAGTCAAACAGTTTAAAAGGTGCAAGTAAAAAAAAAAGTTCTTTACTGTTTTAGTTGTAGTCAGATAATACAAAGTTATAATTTATTTATGACAAAATATAATATTCCTTGCAGATTTGTTCTTGTGAAAATCCCAGATGGGATTATTTAGGACAGGTTTAGGTCTCAGATAGTAAACTCAACTGAGTGGTATTTTGATATTGATAATCACTTTTATTGGCCATATATGTTACACACACTAGGAATTTGTCTCAGGTATAGAACCGAGGCAGCCAACTGTGGCACCATCTCTCTCTCTCTCTCTCTCTCTCTCTCTCTCACACACACACACACACACACACACACGGCGGCACTGTTCTAGCCATCAGGAGCAACTTGGTGTTCAGTGTCTTGCCCAAGGACAGTTCTACATGTGGACTGGGGAGAATGGGAATCAAACAGCTGACCTTTCAGTTAGGTCACAACCGCTCTACCTCCTGAGCCTCAGCCACCCCTGACATGTGATGTTTTTTTCTTTTATATTTTGTAATAATTTAGTATCACATGTAGGCTGCATTGACCATGTTTTTGTACTTTGAACTACTTTTCCTAAGTAGCTTTAATTAACCTTCCTGGAGTAGCTTTGCTGTAGTTTAAGTGTGAAGAACTGCAACTGGTAGCTTCCACAGCACTTGTTATGTTTTCTTTCCTCTGTAAGCAGTGTAATGTGCCAGCAGTGACAAGGCAGACAGAGCCCACATGTTCACCAAGAAGATCAAACAGACATCAGCCTGATGCAAAAACCAAAAAATATGACATGCTTTACTCTGTAGCTCTTCGGCATGCATTAGGAAATGCTTTTTATTATCTATAATTGCAAAACATTACGATTAAATTTGTTAAACCCATACATTCAGGATCAGCTAATATTTTCATATAGTAAAGGGATTTACAACATTAATATAAACAGAAATTTCTTTTTCCACAGCTACTGGCACAGAAGTGATTGAAGTCAATTCTAATGTTTAACATTCATATTGGGAAAGGCAGACATCAACCTTCAGCACCCCCATTACATATACACAGATATATTAAGTATGTATCTGTATGATGTAACATTAGTAGAGCTTATAATCTGCTTTCCTTTAAAGTTTTTTTTTTAATCTTCTGTGGTGGAGCTCTCAGTGCTGAGCAAAAGTGCAAAGTTTAAGTGCCATAATAGATGTGACATGATTCTTTTTATATTTTCATAGTCAAACAGTTGTTTTGCTTTATTCCGCAACCATTTTTCTTGAACTCTCTTTAAGTTCTTTTACCCTGCTTCATTTTATTGTGTTATAATAGTTCTCCTAAACTCCTCTGCTGCCAGCTCTATCGTTCATCCTGTCCTCCCCCATCACTCAGTCAGTAATGGCATCAGTGTCTGATGAAATCTCCTAACAGAAGACGTCCCAGGCTGGTTGGGCCTCTGCCTTCCAGATGAGGTCATGGGCTCTATGCTTTGATGGGATTACATGCAGCTCTGCCCATTTAGAGATTGGACCTGCTCTTTCTAATGCCAATAGAACAAACCAGCCATCGAGCCACTGAGCTTTGAAAAGGGCGGTGCAGGACACTGGCAGGTCAAACCTCGCGGATATAAAGCATCTTTGATTCCTATAGGGAAAGCGGGCACAAACTGGAAACCTGGCTCATTGCATAGTGTGCATGATATTTGGAAATAAGCAAGTAAGAGAGAAAATTTATATTTCAGCAAAGCTGCAACCAGTGTGCTTTTATTGCATCTGTTGCACTAAGAATAGTTTCAGTATAAAAGAAGTGAAGGACACTGCTGCCCTTACCTTTATCTTACTGTGGAAGAGACAATGTCTGGACTACTGCACTGCATTTAGCCAAAAATGGAGCTATTGATTTTCCTTCACATTCTCATAAAAACTATTAAGTATTTGTCTTCATGGGTCCATAAACCTAATACTCTCTGACCAGAATACGTTTTTGACTAATTATTCTGACACCCTAGATGCCAGTACTGTGGTGACTGATGAACTTGAGGTATGTTAGTACCAACACTGACATCAGTCACTGCTGTCATTGTCACTGTGTAATATGATGTGATTACTCAAGTCTTTTTCTGTCAGGTTGGGCATTATCTACTTCATTATTGTGTCACATTTAGCTAATGATTCAAGATAATCAAGGAAAGTGTTTTAAAATGGACCAAGTTAGTCAAAGACTTTGGGTATTAATAATTAATTTTGTACTTTTCCCAAATTGCTTGCCTTGAGTTGGTTGGTTAATAGTTCTCATCTCTTTAACTGTCTTTATGTTTATGGAAGATGGCATTTGGGGCCAAGTGATACTTTACTTAATTTTATATGTATTTTAAAGAAGCTGAGGGAAAGCAGGGCCACTATCCATCATGCAGACAATGAGTGTTGCCAGAGGAAGACCTATTTTCAGCCATTCTTTGCAGCAAAGCCATGCACCCTATGTTTCTATAGAGTATATTTATGTCTTTAGACTGTGTATGGATACTGTACAACTTCTTTATGTTTCAGTGCATATCCTCAACAGCTTCTGCTTGTGTATGTAGACCTGTACAGCCGGCTGTTTAACATTTTGCCCCGTGGGGATAATAAGCTTAGATTTAACTGACCCTTTGACCCCTTTGACCCATGTAGTACTGGTGTGAGTTGAACATATGAGGTAAAAAATGGGATCTGGGAGTCTTACACGATGGCTTTACAGCTAGGGGTTTCTTGACTGATACTGAGGCTTGGGTGAAGATAGTATGACAGTAAAAGGACTACGGAGGTGGCTGTAGTCTAAAAGTACACAAATGACTTTAAAATGGAAGAATGAGCATCTTCTGACAAACAGGCATTAATGAAAACAAGAGATTTTAGAGGGAAAGCCTGAAAGTGAAGCGAAAGAAGCTGCAGGAGACAGAAGATGGGGTAGAGACCGCATAAAATAAAAGTGAGATAGGTTTGTTTGGAAGTGGTGCTGTTACCTACTTTGATTGTGATTGCTCCCATGCTCAGGCTTTCTGCACTGTTGGAGTCTCCTCGACTGTGGTCAGGTGAGGTTAGCTGTCTGTGTGCTCAGGTGTCCTCTCCTTCATCACAACTGACAACAGGTGCCATTCGAATAGTTCTTTTTTTGCATTTTTGTGTATATATGAGCTCATTTTGGTTTAATTAAAATGTGTGTGATAGCTGACATAACCAGATTTAACATAGGATAACAATAAATCACATCAGTTTATTGACACTGCTGACATTTGACATGCACCTGGCAGGGTGTTGGTCTTTTCAGGCAAATGTATTTTAGTTGCAGTCAACAGAAAGGTTCCACAGATGACAAGAAGCTACAATGTTCTGCGCTCATACAGAATCATTTTAGAAACATCGTTTGTGAATGATAGCAGTCTTTTGCAGGGGAAAAGATAAACATGTGACCCTGACCAGTGATCCGGTGAGCAGCTGCTTTTAGACAAATGAAACAAACAGGATGCCAAAAAGATGTTGTTTTGAATCACCCTTAAGCACCACCGGTATCAATAGAGGTCTCAAAAAAAAATTGATCCAAGTGCCAAGGAGTGCGCCTATAATTACAGACTGTCATTCAATGAGCCAAATTGGATTAGCACAGAGTCACCTTGACTCAGCAGTGTTGTTTTGCCCAGTAAAATTGTATTATGGGGGCTGGAATTTGTGACGGGGCTTTAGCGTTCAGTAGATGCTGTGGGGAGCACCCCCCCAACACACACACACACGCCCTGGTTAGCTCTGACCATCCAAATCCCACTCTTAAATATGCACATTTTCTTAATATAAACTGAGCAATTTAGGATATTCTCATTGAACCTCTGGAATTTCACAGTCATTTTCTATTTGTTTGATAATAATAATACATCTGTGCTATAATAAATTATATCTTAAGCAGGCCAGAGTGAGCCTGTGGAGGCAATATGATGATGAACTGTGGATCACAGTTTGAACACTCACAGGAAATCATGTTACAACACTGACACTGTTAGGCTGGGGTCTCCCTCCCATCAGCACTGGCTTGCCAAGATGGAAAAGGACTTCCCTTCCCAAATCATGCTGTGTGCACATACACTCACATACTGTATGTGCATTACACGTTTGGGCATGTGAGAGTTTTTCTGTGTATTTATTTGTGTGCTTCTTCAAGTATGACCCATTTGGTGTATTAAAGACACCTGACTACACAGAAGTAGGGTCCTCAGAGGATAGGTATTGTGTGTGTGTATGTGTGTGCACGTGTATGCTTCTCCTATGTCCCTGTATCTGTGTGTGCATTTATCTTTGTATCTACTCATGACCATTTCTCTTTTTCTCCTGTGTTTGCACCAATTAAACATGACAGTGCTGTTCCGGCTGGACTGTCGCTCCTATTATAATAAACCAGGCCTTTACTGTGGGTAAATCAGTTTCAGGCAGAGCCTTGTTTATAGGCTTCTGTTCCCCAGAGCTAATCACGAGTCAGCAGATTTATCATCCCAGTTTAAAATGCTCTCTTCAAAACTAAGGCCAGGTCATAAAATACTGAACAAGGAGAACACTGAAAATTGAATGTTTTTTTTTTTTTTAATAAAAAGCTCTACAGCCTTTTTCCTCACATGACTCCAAATGATTAAAAAGAGCTGTGGTGAATGAATGATTAAAATGCTTCAAATTATTGCAATATTAAATAATCATTGGGAGGATTTACCTGAATGAATTTAGTTCACATCAGACCTTAGCCACCACAAGGGTCTGTGCTGTCAGTGGGGTGTCACCTGTTAGTCTGGGATAGTCACAAATCTATGAATTGTGTGCACTATGAGATGAACATCTCCCTCTTTCTTATTTTTGTTCTCTTTCTGATCTCTCCCCTGTCCTTTCTCTTGCTTGTTCTCTCTCCCCTTTTTTTCTTATTTCTGTCTCTTACCCTTCCCCCATCTCTTTCAGCCTGGCTGATGATTGCTACAGCCATTGTGGGTTATCTCCTGTGGTGACTGCAAACTCAAGAGTTTTCCTCCCTGCTGCATCTCAAGACCCACTGATCTTACAGTATCATTCCTGCAGGGCCCTCGTCTGCTTACATTCACCCCTCTTGCCCTTCTTTCTTCTTTCTTCTGCTTCTAAGTATACTCTGAACCCCTGTGACGACCAACCGGTGGAGGCAGAATGGAGGACACTTACAATAATAGGACTTCCCTGGTTAAGGGGGCTAAAGACATGGTTAAGGAGGCCAAGAGGCACGCAGCAAAGAAAGTCAACAAAGTGGTCGACCGAGCCACAGATGAGTATTCATCCCACCATAACTACAGCCGATTCAAGGATGAGGAGGATGAAGATGAAGATTTCTACCAGAACCCCCCAAGGCAGGACGGCGAGGGAAACAATGACAACGAGGAGGGCTCCAGCGATGCCACAGAGGGCCACGATGATGAAGATGAGATCTACGAGGGCGAGTACCAGGGGATCCCCTCGGCAGGAGATAAGAATTTTAAGGAGGGGCAGGTGGCACTGGGGCAGCCATTGTCGGATGCCACAAGGGATCGCAAGGAGTTGGAGCAGGAGAGACAGGCTGATGAGGAGGAGCTGGCCCAGCAATACGAGCTGATCATCCAGGAGTGTGGCCACGGGAGGTTCCAGTGGCAGCTGTTCCTGGTGCTTGGGCTGGCACTAATGTCAGATGGGGTGGAGGTATTCATGGTGGGCTTTGTGCTGCCCAGTGCAGAGACAGACATGTGTGTGCCCAACTCCAGCTCAGGATGGCTAGGTAAGCGACACTACTGTGTGTTTGAGTGCTGGTGAGTGCATGTGTCTACTTGTGCCCTCCATATTAACTGAATTGCATCAGTTTGGTTGTTATTTTTTCATGATTTTAATTGTGTCTTTTTTGCAAATATTTTGATCTAGCATTGATTACAGACCTTTGCAGTATTATAGAGCAATTCTGAGACACTCCAGTGAAAAAATAAACCAGATGATGTCATACTGATGTCATCAGGGTTATACAGTATTAGCTTGGGCCAGGAAAGTACAACTGGACAGCAGAAAGATGGAGAAACATGAGGCATGGAGTATGTGTTTGCCAGGCAGAGAGGGTATAATGAAAAGACACTGTCCAGTTGAATTATGGCAAACGTAGGACCCAATGCTTTTAGAGCGTGACCCTAAAACAGGGCTTAAATGTTAGGACATCTTGACCTTTACTGCCTAGATTTTGTCTCACATAAGTCCAACAAGTTTGTGGAACAATGTGAATTAGTGAAGTACTGTTTCACATTGACTGCTGCTATGCTTTCCAACTGTCAAATATTTTTAGAGGGCTGTTATTGCCAAAGAAAGACTGATCATTTTCTGTGCAGTCTACATGCTGACTAGTACACTATGATACTGACTATGGACTAAATATTATGTATATTCAGAACATACTTTAATGTATTTAATAATTCAGACATAACTACATTCAAAACCACTTTAGTAAGTAATATATTTGTCATTTTGCCATTTTTCTATCATAAGCATGTCCCCCCTAGTTTTTGTGACATTAGTCTTGTGTATTTGCACTACTGCACTTTATCTTATAGTTGTGTTTCACATGGGTGAGATGCTTTGCTCCACTAGCCTCCATGTTAAGAATAAGAGTGCAGCTGTAGTCCCTGTGTGCTGTGTGTGTTGAACAGGAGTCCCAGCAGCCCCCGTGGCTGCAGGTGTGTAGTCCCTTACCACAGAGCTGTGTACAGAGGCTGACTCAATGTGTCATGTTAATACATCAGCTGCACCACAACATCTGATGCAAAACTGATACGGCAGGGCCTCATGTAGATTGTGACAGAAAGTTTGAACATTTTTGATTTCACTGAATAAATACAAATGTTAAAGTTTCAAATAAGAAATGTACACACCCTGTCACATTTAAATTATGTACTTTTTCATTATACGTTTGCTTAAACCTTCAGTATATATTGTTTATTTACCCGTTTCACATAAAAACAATCAGCTTGTTAATAAATGCCTGTGTTGGGTTGTCACTGTTAAATCCTCACAAGATGTGCATCTTCATTTTTCTCTTTTTCCAAGTATCTATCCATAAACTCTTTTCTTTCTCTCTAGCCAAGCAAAGTCCTGCAGGCATTCATACTCTATACTCTGCTTCTCCTTGTTCGTGACTTCATCCCTCACCCCCCTCCCCTCCCCCTCCTCTCCATTCTATGTGTCTTGTTTCTGCATGCATCCTCCCCCATTCTCCTCTCCTACTGATTACCCTGAGGTTCCTCCCCATTAAGGTGAACCCGATTAGTTTGTGTGTGTTCGTGTCTGAGCATAACTGACATGATTACTGTAACCTTGTTGGTATCCATTTGGAGTTTTCTGGAGTAATTGCCTTTAATTACAGCCAACAAAGTGAAATGAGGCGGTGTTTTACAGATTCCATGGTAAAACTGTGTTGCAGTGAAATGCATAAATAAACACGAGCCAGTTAAATCTGTGAAATTGATTAGGGTAATCTTATTTTTCATGTATTTTATATAACCTTTATTTAACTGAGCAGAACATTGTGGTTCTTATTTTGCAGTGAGAGCCTTACAATAAAATATTCTCTTCATTGTGGTCTGGTGGTAGTGATAAAGAATCTGTTTCAGGGATGACAGGGCTACACCCCCACCTCCCCACCCCACCACTGCACAGCTCTGGGTGTAGTTTGAGCTGTGGTACCTGTGGCTTGGATATATTTTTAATTTACCACAGTTGGCAGATTTAGCATATGGCAAGATATTGGGCCTTGTGGCTTGCCTGCTGCTGCATTTGTTATTCCTACTGGTTGGTTTTGGATGCATGGAAGGGCTTGTAATCTTAGAGGGAAGCTCTTTCCTCTTGATTATAACCTCTCTGTGATACTCACACAATAGTACTGTACTGCTATGACAGCTGACCAACGCTAGGAAAGGAACAATCATTGCATGTTGCATGCATGTTTTCAGAAGAATTGCTTTCAAAGCCGTATTAAAACTGAACCTAACACAAAGCATCTTCTTAAAGTTTGTTTTCACATTTGAAGTTTTAGCTATTTACAAAATTCAGACTAGTTTGTATTGTGAGGAAAAGCTGTGCTCTTACTAGAGTCAGTCTACTTACTGCTTACTGCATCACTGTAACAGTCAAACTAAGTAATACTGATAAAATGAAGTCAAAGGAAGGTGATTACTGACCTGCCGTGTATATACAGATTCACAGCAAACAGGTACATCTAAGCACATTCTCTGATATCTCTATTCCTGTGTCTATGTAAATGTACTGACTGACAGGTGGAAAGAAGTGCAACTGTCCATTCTACAGGATGAGTGGTTTCCCCCCACCCCCCAAAGTAAAGAAAAAATAAAGTGATTTTAAGTAAATCACAAGTTTTAATCCATATTTGACTATAGCACCAAAGAAATGTATTGTTATTTGTTTTGTTGAAAATTTCACTTCACACATGGAAAACATTTCAATTACATAGCATCTAAAATATCCATTTGGTGTTTGGTAAGTTCCAGCTGAGCAGAGACAGTGGCAGGCTGCATGGACTGAGTTGAGTGTAATGGTATAATGACATATGAAAAATGCAAAGGCCTGAATAGCATGGATGACTGAAATGCTGTTTAGATTACTGAATTCATTTTGGTCCTACAGTATCACTATCCCGATCTGACAGTAATCTCTTATGCCACATGGGAATGAAGGATGGAGAGTTGAAAGAAGTGGGTGAAACACTGTAAATACTTTAGATAAGCGTTCATGATGTGGGAAGGAAGAGGAAAACAAGCACTGTGAGATGCAATAGGTGTGATGACCAGGAGAGAGGAGGAGGAGGGACAGCTTTGAAGCTGAGCGATTGCCATGTTAGAGAGGAGTAATGGGGAGAGAGGTGTGGGTGGATGGGAGCAGAGAGGTGGAAGATTGGTAGTATTCAGTACAGCAACAATGTGAGGGAGAGGCCTAGTTATCATCTCAGACACAACAGACAATGGGAGAGCGTCACCCTATCATTACTTACGTGTTCTCTTAGGCTGTCTTTTCCCCACTGAAACTCCCCTCAAGTCTCTCAACTTGGCTCTCCTCATTTTCATTTAACAGCCACCTCTCCTCACTGTCAGTACTTGCCCCCTGCTTTCTTGTTTAAGCTCTACTTTATCTTCTTGTCACTCCACCCTCACTTCCCTGATCTCTTGTACCTTATTTTTTCCTCACACTTTGTGTCCCAGCTTCACTCTCTGTCTCCTTTCGAGTTGCACCTCTACATTACATCTCTCCCATTTTCACTTTTTTTTCCGCCATTCCCCGTTTCTTCCTGTCTGTATTAGCCAGCTGGCAGGCTGTGTGGGGCTGAGCGGGCCAGGGGCAGCTGAGCATAGCTAAACTGCAGTACGATCGCAGCGTCACTGCAGAGATTTCACTACTTGAGTAGTGCAGTTCCACATTGTGTGGGAGAGTGTGTATGTAGGAGAAGAAGGGGGGGAGTGTGTGTGTGTGTGTGTGTGTGTGCGCATATGGACTAAACCTCCTGTCACCAGCAATATCAACCACAAGTAAATTATGTTCACTCTTATCAGGGCTTCAAAGCATCATGAGAATTCACCAGTCATTACCACAATATAAGGTTGAAGGTTGGATTATTACTAATGCTGGCTCATGTTAAATCCTGTGCTCTAAGCTCTACGATTGGTTACTTTCATTGAAATCCTGCTTTGATTGACATGACTTAAATATGACAAAAAGCTTCAATCTCTTTTTCTGTGGAGGAGGCAGAAAACAGAGGCAGGAATCCGATCAAACTGACACGATGTAGTACAAATGTGATTACACGCTGTTCAATGTAAAGGAGCTGATGACAGTGGAAACTAAGGGGAATACTGTAAATGAGAGAAAAGAGAGGAACAGGGGTGAAGAGGGGAGAAAAGGAGGAGAAATGAAAAAGGGAAAAAGGAAAGCAATAGGAGAGGACAAGCTGAGAGCAAGAGAGATAGAGGAAAGGTTTGGAAGAGAGGCACAGAAGGAGAGCTGAAGGAAAATGTGAGGAGGTAAAATAAAGTAGCAGTGAAGAGATTAAGAAAAAGAATTTCAAGCAGAGAGAGGTTCAGTGTAGCCATCAGGCACGCTGCCATGTGACAGTGTCATCATTATGAATAAAGCAGGACGGGTGTTTTGTGCGACACTGAAACAGTTTGCACCTCTAAGGATGAAGAGCATCAAAGCATGAAACCAGAGACGAGGTCGTGATGCAGCTCAACACTCCTACGGCTCTCAGGGGGGGCTCCTCGGGATGTGACAGGACAGACAACATTGCACCAGGGTCTTCCCCTTCCACCCCCTCGTCACTCTCTCTCATCCTATCTACTAGTTACTCAACTCTCCTCCCTCTTTCCTTTTTTCCTGTTTTGTCCTCCCTTCATTGTTCTTTCTTCCACTGCTCACATATTTCATTTGTTCTTGCTCCTTTATTGAGTTTCATTTTGTATCTCGCCTCTATCATCTAGTTCCCCTGTGGCTGGTTTAGCTGTGCCAAAAAAAGTATAAATATATTTGAAATATTTTAGTTTATGAATTAAAATCACTCTTTGGTCAAGTGCATGTATGATTATAGCAGTGTTTTGCTCCATATCTTAGCAACTCCTTCAAATTTGTCTTGTTTTTAGAGTGTGCCTGTGATTTTGCTGAATATTTACCATTCCTGGTGATGTGTTTTGACATCTCAACAGGGTGTCATGGGTCAAAACCTTTCTCTTCTGCCTGAGCGATCTCCTGACACACTGTCATTTTGTGATGGTCCTCAGTGTCTTTATGGGTCATCAATTCAAATTCAGCTGTATTTTACACTGTTATGGTGAGACATTTGTACCAGCAGGCATCCATTCATGGAGTTTTGCTTCTAACACATCAAATCGGTGCTTCAGAGATCATACATTTCTTTTATGTACAAAACCAAGTCTTTACATTACACCCTTTGGTAAAATTTCAGTCTTAAAATTAGTTTGAACAGATATCTATTGAATGCTTTCTTCTTTGTTGTCTGCAGGCCAGGAAAACGACCTACATTTACAGCTTTGAGAAATCAATGAGAGGCCAGTACCGGCTGATAGCACTCCGGGGTTTCATTAATTAACATACTATGGCTGAAGCTCTTGTGGTCCAACCTTATTGTTGTTTGCTATTGACAGGTTGACCGGAGCCTGAGCATCATCAGCGTAATGTAATGTGAAAACATTTCATGGGTAATGGGCAGCATACTATATTGGCAAGCTGAAGTGGATTACTAAATGCAAGTGGATTATGGGGCTCATTAGATACAGACAATTTACAGTCACACTGATTTATATTGAACAGAACTTGAGAGGGACGCTATTACATAACCTCACCCCAGTAAAGATTTAAGAAATGATCTTATTTTGATTATAAAAAAACAAATCAGTGCATTTATAATGTTGTTCCCAGTACTTTTTACCATACTGACTCTGAGAGACGAAGCAGTCCAAGCAACTACAAAACAGTGCTGATTTATTCCATGAACACAGGTAAAAATTAACATTACACGCTCAGGTATCTTGCACCTCCAAACTGCACGCAGGCAGATGAAAGATGAAAGACCCTGAACCAAAACAGTGCTGATTTATTCAATGAACACAGGTAAAAATTAACATTACACGCTCAGGTATCTTGCACCTCCAACATGCACGCAGGCAGCTGAAGGATGAAAGACCTTGAACCACAACAGGCCTATACATTTATCACTTAGGTTGGGCTAGCCCCATTCTACACAGGAACGTCAAACCGTGACGTCTCTGGTGCCAGCTTTGCAGCTGACCATAGCAGTAGTCAAAACATGAAGCAAATGAATGTGTGTGTGTCTGTTGATTAAGTGGTGTGTATCCAAGACATACTGACATGACATCTAGTGACATGTCATGACATTAAACATAAGAAAATATTATGATTACGGTTAAACACATCATAATAATAATAATCATCATCCTGTCTGCTGACAGTCAAACTTTTCTATCTAGTTATCCTTGACCATGTGCACCCTATAAAAAACTCATGACAATGACTAAGCACTTAAACAGTCTAACTCCAACTGCTTGGTTGGAGTCCAGAAGCTACAGAAAAGGTGAATCTCACATCACACTGGAATGGTAAATGACCTTGTGCTTGTTTAGTGCTTTTCTACACACTCAAAGCACAATATTAGCCCATTCGCATCAATAGCTGCAAAGCTGCGGTTACTGGGACAATCTGGTCTAGACTGGAGCCACAGCTGCCCAGGTGGAAGTGGATGTGGCTCATAAAGAAATCAGAAAGGAATCCTTCATTGGGCAAAGCACACAAGTTTTGATATGTAACACAATTTTCAGCCATGACAGGTAAATTTGACACAAACTTCCTTTTGGTTTTTTGGTGATGAGAGAGACTGCATAATATTAAGGGATGACTGTGCTATTTTTAGATTTTATTACACTAATAGGATGCTACACTGCTTTTTTTTTGTTGCAGGCACAGTCGGCATCATAGTTTGAAATACTGTGTAGCAAGTTGGACAGAACATCAATAAATTCATTATGTAATTGACTGTCCTGTGAGGAATGTAGTCACAGGTCAACAGCTTTAGTGCACAGCAGCATCACATAGCAGGAGTTTCTTTCTTTGTCTATTTTTTTCTCCAAAAATACCCCAAACCAAAATAAAACTTTATTGTTTACAATGACATTCGGGCTCTGAAACAAACTGAGGAGGCCTCTGGATGTTTGGGCGCATGGCATTTAAATGGGAGGCCAGTGGGTGTTTGCCTGTGCACTGCCTATCTAGCCTCCTCTTAATGAAGCCAATGTGAACTGTGTAGAAACTGAAGACTTTCATTACATTTAGAATTGAATTTATGGCTCCTTCAGGCTACTGTCTAGATGGGTGCTAAATGTGACAGATAGCTGGGTTTTGACCCCTGAAGCAAAAGAGCCAAACAGATATCTGGTCACAGCGGAGGAGGAGAGACCTGACAAGAGAAATTACAGAAAGGAAGTGCATCTTGCTGTTAAGATTATTGTAATGAAATGAACAGTGTCCCTACAGCTGAGTCATATCACTCCATGTACAACTGCAACTTTTACATCCTCTTCTTTGTGTGTTGACTTAGTGTATGAATACAAATATTCCCTCTAAATCAGGTTTATATTTATGCGATTGTATGTGGATATACACACAATTTTATCTGTTAGTAAACTATTCACTGTTTTAGCCTGGAACAAAAACCTCAAAATAGACATTTCAAAATAGAGAAAATGCAGTTGGACTTGCTCTTTGCAGCAGAAATCGGCTGCTAACCATACAATACAGACTGAAACAGTAATAATAAATTCCTCTTCAGAACAAAATCAATGAGAGAGCTCAATGCTGTATTTGTTTGAGCACTGATCCCATTTGTGATGGGAGAGATTAAAAGAGTGCAGAGCGCCCTTTTGTAAAGTCTCTGCACATTACTGTTCATGTTTGTTTTCTCATTGATCAGAAGCTTTTTTCCACTCCTTTACACACTCATCAGTGTTTTCGTGGGTAACTGGGACTGACGGTTTTCATTGTCATCTGTCTGTGATACAATTTTTGCAAGACTACTGCATCTTATTTTGGAAGATTGAACATGTAGCAATTTCTCCCTGCCCTGCTATATTAGAAAGCATACAGTAGCTCTAATGGGTAACCTGGATTGTGTATCTGTGTGTTTAACTACAGGTATGAAACATTTGGAGTGATATAAGCACTTGCATCTAGCAGATATTTTATCGTTTTAAAACCCCACAACATCTATGAATTTGGCATTCCATATGGAGTCAGTCATTCAGCAGAACTTCCAATTCACTAATGAACATTCATCAGTAATGGAGGCACACGCTTAATGTTGCTCCATATTTTAATTTGACACTTCACCATTTACCAGCAGAGGGATATTTAGAGGGCATGATTCCTAAAACACTTCTTGGCTCAGAGTTTATGTTGGCTGCCTCTGACTTCTTAGGCTGATATATTTTCAAAGTGTCAACCAACAAAAGTTCATATCAAAGAGTATTGTATTCTTATTTCTTAGGCATTATTGTTATTTGGCTATAATCCTTATTTTTATTTTAACAATGGGCAGCATGGGCCCTTGTATGTAAGAGGAGCTGCTCATAGTGACAGAGCCCCAAAGCTTTATATCATCTTTTAACTCATTGGTTTGGTTTTAGGTTCAGCGGTAATTTTAAGTTTGGTTCACTCTCACATCTCAGCAGTATCAAAGTTAGCAATTAGCTGGTGAATAAGGTGGAGCATTTAGCAGCTAAAGAGCCAGATAGTCCCATCAGGAGCTGGTGCAGACCAAAAACAGAACTAAATGAAAAGTGAATTTTGGACCTACATGCACCAGGTGGCCAGAAACACAGCTCTCTAAATTACTGCTTATGTTGCTCTGTTACTGCTTGATGTTTAAATAGGCAGCTATTTGGTAATACTTTCACCTCAAAAGGGGGAAAAATCTGTTGTTGCAATTTTAAATATGAGAGCATTGACACCAAAATCATTTTTATATACTGGCTAAACGTTGAAGAACCAAAGCATACAAACATATGCACATGCAGGGACATGGAGAATTAAAATAATACATTGTATGTCAGTGCAGACAAAACTTTCTTCTTCTCCTTGCAGGCAGTGTTGTTTACCTAGGGATGATGGTTGGTGCGTTCTTCTGGGGAGGGATGTCTGACAAAGTGGGCCGCAGACAGTGTCTCCTCATTTGCATGTCCATGAATGGCTTCTTCGCCTTCCTGTCATCGTTTGTCCAGGGATATGGCTTATTCCTCACTTTCCGTCTTGTCGCAGGCTTCGGGTAAGTCTTATGTAGAAGGGGTCATTCTGGGGTCGATCAGGCCATCAGTTCAGATGATTTGTGAAGGTCCAGTCTAATGGTGTACCTCAAAAACAAAACTCCTTCTTTTGCCACAGGATAGTAACAATATCAGAAAATATATACTACGCATGTGCAAAATCAAAGTGTATTAATCAGTGAAAATAAAGGATAAATCTCTGAGACCAAGTCTACAGTCTTATGCAAAAGTTTAGGCACCCCTTGATAAATAACAGATTTTGGTGATTTTTTATTTGAACAGATGTTAACACAGTTTCTCTTGGAAATGGAAAAAATGCACAATATTTTCAGCAAACAGTGATGCATAGTTACTTCTTATGCCATAAATTGAACAAAAATAAAAAATAAAAACATTATTATGGCATGGTGCAAAAGTTTGGGCACCCTAACTGGCTAAACGTTGAAGAACCAAAGCATACAAACATATGCACATGCAGGGACATGGAGAATTAAAATAATACATTGTATGTCAGTGCAGACAAAACTTTCTTCTTCTCCTTGCAGGCAGTGTTGTTTACCTAGGGATGATGGTTGGTGCGTTCTTCTGGGGAGGGATGTCTGACAAAGTGGGCCGCAGACAGTGTCTCCTCATTTGCATGTCCATGAATGGCTTCTTCGCCTTCCTGTCATCGTTTGTCCAGGGATATGGCTTATTCCTCACTTTCCGTCTTGTCGCAGGCTTCGGGTAAGTCTTATGTAGAAGGGGTCATTCTGGGGTCGATCAGGCCATCAGTTCAGATGATTTGTGAAGGTCCAGTCTAATGGTGTACCTCAAAAACAAAACTCCTTCTTTTGCCACAGGATAGTAACAATATCAGAAAATATATACTACGCATGTGCAAAATCAAAGTGTATTAATCAGTGAAAATAAAGGATAAATCTCTGAGACCAAGTCTATTTCTGTCTCTGTCACTCCTAATTGTTATTAGCCACGAAGAACCATGAAGAACACTTCAGTATACATTCTTACAATTTTAGAATTTTTTAAAATATATGTTGCAGAGGGTGTGAGAAGCAAAAAAAACTATACCAGAGATATACAGTGTGTCATCCTCATACGATTCAGAAACATGGTGTAGACGGTGATTTACTACGTCCCCTTCTTTGGCAGTGTATTGCTTTCTGTAGGAGCTGTTTGATTAATTGCATCTGCATCAGTATCCCCAGAGACCTTCAGAGTAATTGAAAAGGCTCTCCACACTGCCAGTGTGACCTGTCCCACCAAATCATGAGAAACTGGAAATAAGAATTTTTTTGTATTTTTGAAAAATATGCTTGACTGTGATTTTTTTGTGTGCTTATTTTCTTTCTCTGTTCTAATTTTTAAATGGAAAACAATCCATACATTGAATAAACTTTATTATAACATTATAAATGACAATTTTTTAGTGTATGGCTTCTTGTACTTCAGTTAAAGGAACAAAAGCAGTCCACAGACAAAGCATGCAAAAGCAGAAATAAATGCACATACTGTAAATGAAAAATGTAAAATAAAGATTAATGAGGCTCAGTTTCTGCCATACTCTACCTGCCTTACTCATACTCATGTTCATATTCTTCTTGGTTCTTGCAGGATAGGAGGCGCTGTGCCCATTGTTTTCTCCTTCTTTGCAGAGGTGCTGTCGAGGGAGAAAAGAGGAGAGCACCTCAGCTGGTTGTGTATGTTCTGGATGATTGGAGAGATCTATGCATCTGCTATGGCCTGGGCCATCATACCGCACTATGGTAAGTTTACCAGTTAAGAAACATACACTTATCTGGAATGTCGCAAAAGAAAAAAAAGTTGTCTTGTGAAAGCCCAGGATTAAGTTCAGCAGTACTGAGAAGATGCTTGGCAATGTGACTTTGCACAAAGCTCCTGACTATAAGTTACAAAACTGTAAAGGTTTCTTATTGGCTGTAGGTTAAGGTGCCAGTTTTCCCTGGCATGAGAATTAATCACTTAACAGCTCTGAGCGGATGCAGGCTGTGAGAGGCAGAGGTACAGAAATTAACTTACGCATGGATACGATAGACCAGAAAGGGTGAGGGTGAGCCTGTGGGGGCGAGAGAAAGCTTTGATTTATGATGCTACTGCATTAGATATCAGCTGCACTCATCATGACAAGAAACACAAAGAAGGAAATGGGTATTTTTCCCCTCTCAACTTCCCCTGTTCACATTCTTTCACTTCTTAAAGGGCTGTCCCTATTTCCTGCCCACTCCTCCGGTTTGGTTCTCTCCATCTAACTCTGTCCTTCCTTTTATTACCTCTCCTCTCTCTTCTGTCTGTGCAGAGTGTTCTTCTTGATCAAGCATAATTAGGTTTTTCTCCTTGCTCTAATAGGGCAAAGCTACAGCTAGAGGTGATTTATGGCCAGACAATGCTTTAGCCAACCTTTGACGTCAGTGAAAGACAGACAGAGACAGTGTGTGTGTTGCTGTATGTGACATGGATGATGTTTTTGGGCTGCAGCTACATACAGGTTTTCTTCAAGGGAAATTGAAGGCAATAACATCTGACACTGTAGAGGTTAACACACACACACACACACACACACACACACACACAAAACCACTAATCATAACACTTCTGATAAAGGACTTACATGTTTCCCACAGAGATGCATACACAGTTGCACATGGAGCAGTAGATCCACTCACTCACTCTGCCTCTTGTTCTCTCATCTTACATACTGTACATACTCCAGTCAGTGCTCACCAGTGGTTTTTATGTTTTCTCTAAAGTGCTGCACTGGCTTCAACCTACAGTACTTCAGCGCCTGGGCTAAAATGCCTCATGTACAGATGCCTTTATTTTTTCATAATGGCATCAGGGACAGGTTATAACACAAGTGTGTCAACACTGGTGTTTAATGTGTCATTAGAGCACTCATTTATCTTCTCTACTTGCTGACTCCTAATATCTCTCAGAAAACCTATAGGACGTCTATCTATCTATCTATCTATCTATCAAGTACAGTATCTAGGCCTGGAAGTAGTGTAGCACCATGGAATCAGCCATCCATAGACTTAGTCAATTATGTACATAATCCTCGTAATGAGATTTTCAGTGGCATGGGTGAAACACTAACCCTGAGGGGCAGGAAGCCACATTTCTGTAGAAAAGGCAATCACTGCTGAACAACTCCTTCCCATTCTCTCACTGTTGCTCTGTCACTTTCTCATTTTATTTCTCAGAGTTACTCCAGACGTGCACACACAGAGGCAGACAGTGAACTAAATAAAGGGCTTCAGAGAAAGCGAGAATACACAGAGGTGTGACGTCACTTACTGCATGAGTCATTACAGAAAAGTGCCAAAGAAAATCCTTCCAATCACAAACTAACTGCTAATGTATATTGTATTACAGTACATGTAAGATTGTTTTTCAGCATAAAAGCTGAACTTTAAACTGGTCAATGAAAACATCAAAATTATTTTGTTTATATTGTATTATGTTTTGTACATCAAATGTGCTGTTAGCAAAGACAAAGTTATACAGTTTTTTAATCTTTTTGCCTCCTACTCAGACATTTTCATCTTTCAAGCCTCTTCTGGGATACATTTATACCACTTCTGACAGACACCCACCCTGCTTTGAAAATAGTGGTTTTAAGGAGTTGATATGCATTGCTATCAAAGTTGCAATTTAATATGCTTTGAGATTAATTCCAAGCAGCTTTTTCTGGTATAACCATTAGTGTTAACCCCCTCCCCACCCCCGATTCCTCTCCTACGCCTGTTGATGGATAATGATGCTATTCCCTTAGGGGCTGCATCTCCGTGAGGCACGATCTGTCGAGAGACGTGGGAGGTCACAACTGACACAGCAACCCCTTTCTGTGCTTCCTCACAAAAATTCAAAAATGAATTCCATGAAAGCACTAATACTGGGCAACATGTAGAACACTGTGTATTTGTTATTGTGCCTTGGCTATAGCTACAGTTGTTTTTCTCAGTCACTTTCATTTCTCAGATTAGAAATGAAATTCTAAAAAACTACTTGTTCAACATCCACATCATCCAGTCACTTGTGCACATCATATAAACAACGTCTGACAGATTTTCACTAATTGCAGAATTCTCTGTTGTTTCCTACATCATCAGTTGCTTATGTCGTGTTGATCAAAATGTACTGAATGACTCTCCGTTGAATAGTCTGACCTCCCAAAACAGCTAGTCATTCGTTTGTCGCAGATGTCATTACATGCAAAATGGGGGAACTAGTTGTCTTTAGTATCTGTCAGGCGTATTTCTATACAGCTCTATTAGACCTTTTTTGCAAGTATGTCTGAATTGAGAAGTTGCTCTGAAGTGAATCTTGACTTTCACTAATGAAGGGAAACATGTGAAGTGTTAGATCAACCAGTCATCAATCAGTTCCCTGTTGTAAAATAGCTCAGAGGTGCTTCTCATGAACCTTTGATTGGCAAGCATACTGTATATAGTCAGATCACAACAGAGTGTTACAATTTCTGACAATAGAAGAACAAGGAAATAAACAGTGCCAACTACCGGGAAGAAGAACGGTAGGTAGGGTAGCTGCTTTTGCACATAACCCATTGTGTGGTGCTGTTTGTACAAACAGTTTCGAGAAGTGCTCTACTGTTTTGCAAATACCAAGGATGATTTGAGAAATGTACCAAAGCCACTCTGAAAAACTATAATATCACAAGCACTCGTCTCTGTAGTTTAATTTACTGCAAACGATCAGATGTTGCACATGAAAACGCAGTACATCAAATAATCCCATGTTTGGAGAGACAAAGCATTCTTCCACATATTGAAATTACAGCATTATTTTAAATTACAGTAAATGCCATATTTAGTGCCACACTTTTTAGGTCTACAGGGAAACATCTTGCAGTTTATCTTACAGTCAGTTTACAGTAGTAATGCATTTTGAGAGATTATATTGGCACTGAAATATCTAATTCAAGCTTTTTCATTCTTGCAAATGGTTTAGAAAATGTTGATGGAAAAGGAAAAAAAATACATATTTGCTCATGTACTGTATGTACTTGTGGGTATGTAAGGTGGTAGTGTGGCACTACTGTATGTTAATGGTATCTGTGTCAACTACATATGGTATTACGTGGTACTAACTTTCTTTTCTTTTTTTTCCACATGTGGGTATCTGTGCATCTTCTCCCCCTTTGTGAGAATGTATAAGTCTGTAAGAGTGTGTGTGTGTGTGTGTGTGTGTGTGTGTGCTTGCATGTGTGACTGTGCAGTTTACAATGATTAATGAGTCTGGGAGAGTGCCTGTGGGCTGAGATCAGGTGCAACAAGATTTAACCTAGCAGAAAATACTCAATTCCTTTCCTACACATTCAATTAACCCATCCCTGTGCACTTTTCTGAGCTCCCTATGCGGAACCATTCATCTCACAGCTTACACATTACTCTGCTTTGGCCATGGAGTGCTCTCATTTAAATGCCGTATTTTATTTGCAGCGTTTTGTGTTCACAGTAGCATTTAGAATCAGCTGCTCAGATGAAGTGGCCCAGTCCCTCTTGTGATAAACATATAGACTACTGTATTAAAGTATGTCAAATATTATTTAATTGGTGCTTCCTCAAAGCATTATTTTGAGGCTTATTATGTAAGTAATCATACTGCTAATACCTGCTGAGTATTTGTGCAGAATCCATAAATTAGATATACTGTGATTAATACAAACACTTCTAGGTTAAATGCCAATAACTAGCATTTGTGAGCTTAAGAAAAACTCAGATTTCACCTTAATTTAAATTTACATGTGGCAACAACCAGGACTCTAAATGATCTTTTAAATCCTGACAAATCATAATCATGTGCCAAACACAGATACAATACACAAAAAGAACCTGTTTTATAAAGAATATATATCATACATATGCATATTATAATCAGTATTTTAGCATTTAAATGTTATCTGCTACTGCAGCAAGGGTTTTAAGTGCTTTTTATTACAGCTTCACAAATCAATATTTTAATATTATTATTACAGTGGATCCAGTTATGTAATTTGATCTGTGTAATGTGAAGTGTATTGTTTGTTGGACCAAAATCACCAATATTTATCAGAGTTTTTAGCTTTGTGTAGTTCATTTTTTCAGGACTGCAGCTTGTCCACACCTTGTCTCCAGTTGCAGTAGGCAGCTGTTGTCAGGAAAAATGCTCTAAAGATCAAGTGTACACTACCTGTAACATAACTAACAGCGGCTAGGCAGAGTGACTAGCTGGGGAGGATAGTGGATACTTCTCTCAGTAGCTGATGGGAACAAAAACAAAAAAGAGACTAAATACTGGAACTACATTTGTCAAGTAACCAGAGACCCAGCTTGTTCCATTGCCCCCAAGTGGCCAAAATGTTAGTTACAGTAAGGCTGCTTTAACAGCTTTATTTTGTTGCTGTAGAAACCTGACAGGTTACTTTTTTGGATTATTGATTTTGTACAAATGAGCTTAACTGTATCAGGTTTGGTTTATTTACCTCACTTGCAAAGCTTTAGAAAGGTAAACACACTTTTAAGAGCATGTCAGTTACAGTATTTTTGATGGTATTTTCATATTTTTTTACTTTGAGAAGTTCCTAAATGCATTCACTTCTTATTCTGCCATGTCATCTGTCTTCATGTGAACAGTGTCATTGCTGCTGTTTGCCACTGTTCACAGGCTGGAGCTTCAGTATGGGCTCAGCATACCAGTTTCACAGTTGGAGGGTGTTTGTGGTTGCCTGTGCCCTGCCCTGTGTGTGTGCTGTGGTGGCACTTACCTTCATGCCTGAAAGCCCCAGGTTCTACCTTGAGGTAAACAGAATTTCTGATTAGTTAACAGTGTTCACATTGCATCATTTTGGCCCATCTCGGAGAAATCAGAGGAGCGTTTTTATGTACAGTATGCACGACTGTGAGCGTGAGTCTCTGAGAATTTGTCTCTCTCTCTCCCTCACTTTCCCCTCCTGTCAGGTGGGGAAGCATGATGAAGCCTGGATGATCCTCAAACAGATCCACGACACCAACATGAGAGCACGTGGGCAACCAGAGAAAGTCTTCACTGTGAGTGTTTGTGTGTCTGCTGTCTTGGCTGGGTTTCCTCATGCTTTAGGAAGCAAAGACGCTTATAATCTGCCACTGCTGGGATGGATTTTAACACTTTTACTGTGCAGGATCATATCTGAATTATGAAGGTTCTGAAAGCTGGCGTGTGTCATTCAGACTTATTTGCTGTGTGAGCTGCACTTTGGGAAAGCCTCATAGTCAACACACATTTGTTGAAATGATCATGTACTGTAGCACAGGCTGTTTATATTCATCTATTTATGCCTCCATGCCAGAGACAGCCATGGTCGAAAGTGTTCTGAAGCCTGTCTGTTTGCCCTACTCTTGTGAACGTTAAAACGTTCCCTTTCAAGATATGAATATTGCCCAGACTACATAGATTGTACTACACTGGAACTATCATTGCAGTACTGTTTCCTTTTCCCCAGGTAAATAGGATCAAGATTCCCAAACAGCTGGATGAACTGGTTGAAATGGGATCAGAGTCTGGCAACCCAGTTTCCAAGGTTTTCTTTAGGATAAAGGCTGAAGTACATGGGGTAAATGTTTGACTAATTGCAGCAGAAGGGTTTTATTTAAACCAGCCATTTATTTTCTTTGTAATTATGAGCCTCATTTCTGTCCACTGTCTAACCCTACCCCAAGTTTCTCTTGTGATCACATAAAGTGTAATTAATCTCTTTTCTCTCTTTAGATGTATTTGAATCTTTTGAAGTGCTTCAACTATCCTATGCGAGAAAACATGATGCGTCTAGCCATTGTGTGGCTCACGCTCTCATTTGGGTGAGTTTCTTCCTGATGCTGTTGTGTTGTATAAAAATCAGACAAGTCTAATTTCTTCAGTCTAGGCAGTCAGACTTGCGGCCACATCGCATTTCTGTCATCTTGATCTCTCTGCTGTGCAGAAGTTGCACAGTCTCGAAATCAATCACGCTCTACAGATCAATACTTGTCCATTGGTGTCTCAGTGTGAGCAGAGATAGGAGAGAAAACCAGACACCATGGGAACACACTGTTTAAAATCAACAACTTTTGGTTGATCAATTGATTCTCAATATCCTGATGCCACTGTATCCTTGTGTTTGCAGGTACTATGGCCTGTCAGTCTGGTTTCCTGATGTCATCAAACACCTTCAGGCAGATGAATACGCCTCTAAAGTGAAGATCCACAAAAATGAACACATCGAAGACTTCACCTTCAACTTCACCCTGGAGAACCAGATACACAAAAATGGCACTTTCATTAATGACCGGTAGTTATAATGTTGATCTCCAGAGCCTTTACAATTGAACACAAATATATTTACACTATGCAAATAGATAAAGACAAAATGTTGTTACACTGCAGTTAAATGAATACTAAACTATAGCTATTATACAGTGTTACAGTTGTAAAAGTGGAGCGCAACTGTGCTTTTTCAGGTTCATCAGTATGAAACTGAAGTCTGTCACCTTCATTGATTCTACCTTTCATAACTGCTACTTCGAAGATGTCACATCAGTGGGCTCCTTCTTTCGTAACTGTACTTTCATTGATGCTTTCTTCTACAACACAGGTGAGACAATAGGATTAATGATTCTTACAATCATACTTGGACAAAAATACCCAGCTGGATGTTTAGTTATTTCTGACTCACAGACAACATGGCACCATCTAGTGATTGGCTCAGTTTTATTGTTGGCAAAATATGATTTATTGTTTTATTTATTTCGACAGACATTGATGAATCTAAGTTAATAGATGGTACAGAGGTGGTCAATAGCACATTCACCCACAACAAGAAAGGATGCCAGATGACATTTGACGACGACTACAGCGCCTACTGGGTTTACTTCATTAACTTCCTGGGAACCCTGGCGGTTTTGCCTGGCAACATTGTGTCCGCCCTTCTCATGGACAAAATTGGGCGTCTGTCCATGTTAGGTAGGAATTGGGGGGAAGAGTGTGGTTGTCTTTTGTGTGTGTGTGTGTGTGTGAATGTTGAAATAATTCATGCTATGGATGTGGCATCTATCACTGAATATGAGAGGCAATTTAATTATATAATATAGTTGAACATCAGTCAAATGAATGTCACTTGCACTAATCCTCGCTCTGCTTGTATGCCCATCAGGTGGCTCTATGATCCTTTCAGGCATCAGTTGTTTCTTCTTGTGGTTTGGCACTAGCGAGTCCATGATGATTTTCATGTTGTGCCTTTACAACGGCCTGAGCATCTCTGCCTGGAACTCCCTGGATGTGGTCACTACTGAGTCCTTCCCTACTGTCAGAAGGTGAGGAAAGCAACGGTAGATGTTCATATTTGCTTATATAATTGTAAAGACCTGTTTGTGCAGGTATTCGTATATACCTCTATGTACACTAGCATTTCAATCAGCCTTATTGCATTCTCCTTTCTTTTTAATCTAATTTTTTTTATCCCCCCTCTGTCCCTATCTGTTTCCCAGAGGAACAGGCTTTGGGTTCTGCAATGCTCTGTGTAAACTGGCTGCAGTCCTGGGTAACCTGATTTTTGGTTCCCTTGTGGGCATCACCAAGGCCATTCCCATCCTCCTGGCCTCATCTGTGCTCGTTGGGGGAGGCCTGGTTGGACTTCGGTTGCCTGACACCAGGGCGAATGTCCTCATGTAACACCAGCGTGGCATTCATCAGCTGGAATAAAACATGGGTGAATACAAAAAGAAACCCAAGGATTGTTGGGTAAGGTGTGCAAATTGCTTGGTTTATACATATCTCTACACTTGTAACAACATTTTTCTAAAGTAAAGTCGAATAGGAGCCCCTTCTCCACAGTGTGTTTGACTTTTCATACAAGTCAGACTCATCAGATTCCTTGTTCTAGCTCAGTCATTTTGGGAATGCATTGTCTGGAGATTTCACATGACAGAGCTGGGACTTTGTACAGGTTTTGAAATGGACAGTTTTGTTCAGTGACGGGTTGTACCTTCCAGGTGCAGCCATGTGTGGAGTCGCTGCATGGTTAAAACTCAAGGCACTTAATATTGACACAGTCTTATTAAGACAAGCCAGATGGGGAGAAAAGTGAAAAACAAGCTGTAATGAGCACAGCCATCCTGCTGTGTGATGACATGGGCAATAGATGATCAGACATAGTGGACACGTGACACAGCTGTATGACAGCTGTATGCCCACAGGACCTGCATACCCAGGACATGTTGTAGACAGTGTACACAAATTAAAAGCCACACATTGATATACCGTATTTGCAAATACTTGCACTAATATAGACTGACACTTTTCCCACTCTACATTTTTTTCACACTGTACACACAGTACAGTATGTTGCTCAACATGACATTTGTTCAGATATCTGCCAACATTTCTACACAGAACACCAAGCCATTTGCATTACCTACCCAACCACAAAACAAAAAGGCCATATTGAAAAATTTTATTTTCTTGTACCAATAACTGTTTGTTGACTGTGAGGATTTTATTTTCTGTTGTGTTATTGTGGAAGTTACAATGATGAGTTATTCATTTTGTCCAAGTGTCGTTTCACCTGATCTTCTTCCATATGAGGTATTATTGCACTAAGTTTCTCATTTAGATATTTCTTGCAGTAGTGACGTTAACAGTGATGTCAGGCTGCTTCCTTTCAAAAATACTGAATGGCCTTTTTGTAAAATGTGCCTCTCCATAACTAGGGCAGTCTGCCCAGAGTCATGTGGTGTCCAAAGGTTATAAGGAACAGACTGAACTGAACAGGAGTTAATAGATACAGTAATCACTATGGATTTGTAAATATATGTGAATCACATGGCCAGTGCAGTTTTTATTAGGGTGTCACTTAAAATTCATCTCCTTTGTTAATCACTCTTATTTAAATTTAAAGTAATATATTTTTGTGAAATAAGCTTCCTCCTGGGAAAAAACAATGGTATAAGTTACAGTGCATGACTATAAAATAACTGTGTAGATAACAACCACCTCTTTATGAGGGCTAATTTGTGCCAACCATGATGAAAATATCTCTTAATAGATTTTTTTTTAGTTCTTTTGACTTTGTATCTTTAATCATCTAAAAAAGTCTATTTAAATTATGTTTGTATATATTTGAACATTTGAAATTAACATAAAGAAAAGTGGATGATAAATTTGACCTCTGCCATTTGTTGAGATTTATCAATATTTATGTCTATAATCTAATTT